CTTTGCTTTTGTTTTTCCAGCCCCCCTGAGTGCGGCTCCTGTACTTTCCGCGCTGCCATCTTAGCTTTATCTTCTGGCCAGGCTGGGCGTGTGTGTATATTTGTATTAGGAGGGAGGGTTAGAGGCGTGGGGGAGAGTGGAAGGAGCACCCTGGCAGGTTGGGTGTCAGAATTGGCTAGACAGGAGTTCAGGACACAGTCCCCTCAATAACATTGAAATAAGGCAAATCCTGATTTTAACCGTTTTATTAGTGAAACACATGAGGTATTTTGTAGTCTTTGTGGTTGATACATTCATTTCTCAAAAGCATCTCTTGTCTATGATCATAAAAGACTATGGCTTCATCTTTCTTTGGATGGTCACAGATTTTTGTCACCCTTTACTCTGGAAATTGCAAACCTGGGCCTATAATTTTCTAAACTCTTTAGAGATTTACATTATTTGTACTATATTTCTTTAAGGGTACTTTTTTTGTTTTGTTCTGTTTTTAAAGGAAGACATCAGCACTGATGTATTATAAACAGGGCAGAAACCATTAGGTGTATGTACGAGGACAATAATTGATGTTGTTAGTTTCATTTTAAAGGTCAATATTGTCTTAATACTTCAAGATTACAAACACAGGAAGCATGTATATTATTATCAGGAACATCAAGACAGCTGAAAATGCTGTGCTCAAGTCTGAGTTTGTTTCCCAGATGTGTACAGTAATGTATTGGAGCATTTAAAAACAAACTTGGTAGATGAGAACAATTTAGATGAAAAAAATGCTCAAGCTTAAAAAGTGAAGAAATGTTTCACTCTTCAGTAATCTTTGCTTTTTAAGGACCACAGAATTCTGCATCCTTGACAAATATGATCATATTGAACTTTGAAATATATTTTATATGATATATTTAATCCAAATTGAACAGAAAAATTCAACATGGGAATTGAAATTCTTTTACACATAAATTACATGTTGACTACCCTAAATATCTTGATTTCTTGCTTTAAACAACTGTTTTTAGAGCCTTGGAAGATTCAGTAATTTGTAGGCATAAAGAGTTAATGCTTTTTCATTTTTCTTCATATTACTTTTAGAGGATACAAATTATATGTCTAAGTTTTCTTACAAATAAAAAATTTAGATTCTAGGGGACCTGACTTACGTATGGACTGTTTCGTCCCTGAAAAATTATTCTAAATATTAAGTGAGCATATTCTTTGATGTATGTAAATTCAGTGATGCACATTTAAATGCAAATCACATTTTTAAAAACCTGGTTGTTGTGATGCATTTTAGACTAGAGGAAGCTTTCACAACTGATAAAGAAAGTCATATAAAATATAACTCTTTGAAAGAGAAAAATGTAAGAACCACAGGGTTTTAACCTTGAAAACTTAGGTATAGTTTCAATGTCGTGAATTTTGGGGATTCTAATTGATGCCTACATTTTAACATATAATAGTCAAAACAGATTATAGTTTCTTCTCAAGTGGCTTGTGGCTATGATTTCTATAGTCAAAAATTATAAATCATCCATGGCTCATATTCTCTGATAATTTACTGTAATTAACATCAAAATCTTAGCCCCACCTAGTTCAACTTCCTGTTTTGATCAATATTTTTACTTTTATACTTGAAAGTAAAAAGGATTCGACTTACTAGTTCTTCATAAGTAATTCTCTTAAAAATAGTTCCTCCTCCCCCTCCCCCCCCCGTTTTTATTTCAGGTTTGCCTCCAAACTGGACCAAAAGCTATTTTTTAAGTTTTTAGAACATATAATTCATGAAAAATTGTTCATACTTTTCCTAAATCAATTTGTATTTTCTTAGTTTAGGCAGAATAATCTTATCTGTATGATGTCAAATGTTGGGAGCTGGGTTAATTATTTATGCTGTGGAACAAAGACAACACTGCTTCCAGAGAAAAACTGGCTTCCCTACAGGTACTCCTAAAGTCCATCTCTGTGTGTGGGTGGGATGGTGTGACAGTAATTTGTTTGCTCTTGAGTCCATTCCTCTCCATTTCTCTGCTCTGCTCTGTACAGCAAGGGAAGGAGCCCTGCAAACCACATTTTCCAGGCTCCCTTGCCAGCTAGCTTCAAGTTAGGTTCAACCTGTGAGGTGGGATGAGTGATTGGAAGGTGGGAAGGGGGAGAAACCATGCCTCCCCCATCCCCACCCTCTTTGCCTCTCTTTCTCCTTTAGCAGCATCTCCTCTCTGGTTCCAGCTCCTGCGGGGAAGCTTCTCCCTCCTTGATCCAGCTGCAGCCCAGTATCCTCTGTTGTGGAACCAGTTCTCACTGGGAAGCCCC